CAAGGTGCAAGCTTTATATCTCAAATGACTCATAAACTTAAATAAGATGTTAGATCTAGGTTTGTTCTTTGCTTCCTTGCAACAAGATGGTGTTTCTTCCTCCATAAGCTTCACAAAATCAAGGAGATAAGCTCAAACCAAGCCACCAAGCTTGCAACCATGAAATGGGGGCTAGGGTTTCAAGTAGGGAGAATAAAGGTTGAAGAGGATGCCCTAAATATGGAGTTAGTGACTTTAAATATGAGAGAAACCCTAAAATCTTGGGCTTGGACTGCAACAACCACCACATCGTGGCATCCCTCTTGCCACATCGTGGTGTCCATCCAAACACTCTTTTCATTTAGATGTCATGCCATGTCGTGGTGATTAACAAAGCACGTCGTGGAATAAGGTTTACCCCAAAAACCTTATATTTTGCCCCCATTAAGTCTTTAACCGATCCATTCTGAAAAACAAACGTTGCATGAGCCCTGAATGTACAATATTTATGTCCAAAATGTACATGGAATAGTCCAAATATACTTTTTTCTGGTGTCATATTCTAAAAAAACTTTATGTCATATCTAATCCCACTTTTGACACTCTAAAACATACATAAATAGTTAAGATTATGAAGTTTTGGACAAAATGATCACTCAAAATTAAGAAAAAAAATTGATTATTATTGTTATATATATATATATATATATATATATGTGTGTGTGTGTGTGTGTGAATATTACATGCCTAAGAGCATGTTTGTGAAAAATAGATGATAACTATAAACTTAACTTTTATTTATATATGAGTGTTCGAAAAAAATTACTGAAAGTTTTAAAAAATTTGAAATTACATAAAATAACTTATTTATAAACATATGATTGAATTTAAAAAAATCAAATTTATAAAATTATAAAATAGTTTTTTTGTTAAATGTTAGATAATTTTGGATTTGAAGTTTTTGTTTTTATGTTAGCTAAAAATTAAAAGTTTTAATTTCTTTTATACTCCTTATCTTTTCTAATAAATGATTTTTTTTTTCATTTGTCACATTCTCATTCATTTTGCCACATGTTATTTTGTGGTTATTTTGAATTAACTTTTATTCCATATGTAATTTTGTGGTTTTCTTATTTTATTAAATTTCATATGATATTTAAATATTTTCTAACAAATGAAGTTTTTTTTTTTTTTTTTTTTTGTTTTGCCATTTGTCATATTCTCATTCATTTTGTCACATGTCATTTTGTGGTTATTTTGAATTAATTTGTATTCCATATGTAATTTTGTGGTTTTCCTATTTTATTAAATTTCATATGGTATTTAAATTTAATAATAAATGTATATCAATTTCATTAATGGACTTTCTTTGTAATTTCAAAATTTTAAAATAAAATGGGATAATGATTTGAAAGGGTAACGAACTTTCGACTTTTGTCACATTTAGTCACTAAACTTTTTTTCGTTATCTATTTGCCATTGAACTATTGAAACTGTTCACATTTTACCCTTATGACCGGCTGTTACTGGTCATAAGGGTAAAATGTGAATAGTTTCAATAATTTAGTGGCAAATAGATAACGAAAAAAAGTTTAGTGACTAAATGTGAACAAAATCGAAAGTTCGTTTCCTTCTAAAAAGTTCAATGACTAAATGTGAACAAACTTCCTATTGTATTATGTTTTAGCAAAATTATTTATTTTTGTTTAATTGTAGCAACATTTGTTGATGAAGAAATCTATGAGTTAAGAAGAGAGACTCGACGAGTTGACGCCTCAACTCGTCGAGTAAGGTAGCGACTGATGACTCGGATTAATGAATGGACTTGTCGAGTCGGTGAGGCGATTCGACGAGTCCGCACTGTTGGCAGAAACCCTAAATCTTTGGGCCCGAGCCATATTTAAAGGAACTTATGACCTTCAATTGCGACTACTTTTCCCATAAGTAAGAACCCTAGCGAGCTTGAGTGTGTAGAGTAAGAAGAAGAGCTATCTTGAGCTTTTTGGTGTGATAGATCTGGACCCTTCTAGGTCCAGAGAGACGAGAATATGAAGCTTTAGTAGAATAAACATTGGGGTTCGAAGTTAGGAAGCATAACCTTAAGCAGCAATGTGATGAAATAAAATGATGAGAGATAGGTGATGATAGAAAGGTGATGATAATTAGGTAAATAAATGATGGTGAATATGTAGTGTAGGATGAAAGGAGATACCATAACCTTAACCAGCAATGTGGCGATGTAGTCATCTACCGGAGTATAGATGACGACCACAGACTATTCTAGACAACCCAGTGGAAACACCAGCAGGCTCATAACTTCTAGGTGATGAATTACGATGTCAGGCGATATTGTAACTACATATTCATCCGATGATACTCTAACCCCTTACTATGAATTACGAGTTTAGACGATGTTGTAACTACATATTCATGGGATGTCACAAATTTCGCATGCCAAACCAATGGTCATAATTCACATCAGTGAGAACGGTTCATTTTTTTGTAAAACCAAAATCATATTGGAAATTTTAATTTTTTATTTTGGAAAATGTCAAACCATTGGTTTTTTATTTCGGTTTTGTTTTTTTGGTTTTTTTAAAATATATTTTCAGGGTTTTTTTTTTAATTTTTTTATTTCATAGATTTCTTCATCAACAAATGTTGCTACAATTTAACAAAAATAAATAATTTGCTAAAACATAACACGAAAGGAAGCTTGTTCACATTTAGTCATTGAACTTTTTAGAGGGAAACGAACTTTCGATTTTGTTCATATTTAGTCACTAAACTTTTTTTCGTTATCTATTTGCCATTGAACTATTAAAACTGTTTACATTTTACCCTTATGACCGGCAACAGCCGGTCATAAGGGTAAAATGGGAACAGTTTCAATAGTTCAATGGCAAATAGATAACGAAAAAAAGTTTAGTGACTAAATGTGACAAAAATCAAAAGTTCGTTACCCTTTCAAGTCATTATCCCAAATAAAATCTCATTAATTTGCTTTGATTATTTTATCTAAATGATTTGTTTAAATTTAAAAGAGAAAAAAACACTTTACTTTTAGTAATTCAATATTTTTCTTATAAATTCAAAATTTTCAAATGTTTATATATATTTAATTGTTTTAAGGGAAATCTCCAGAAAAGTTCTAAAATTTTAGTCAAATTTATGAAAAAGTCCAAAACTACAATTTATTTACAGAAAAGCAAAGAGTATCGGTTAAAACTTCGAAAAAAACCCTTTTCGTCCGGTTTCGCAGATTTTGCCGGTATTCTGTCATTTTTCGTTAGTTTTGCTCAAAATTTTGGGACATTTTTCCAAAAATTACATAATAACCAAAATATTGGGATTTTTTTTTTGAAAATTACCATGAAATTAATGGATATTATTATTAACAAATCATTTATAAACATAAAAAATATTTTTATTATAAAAAAGAAATACATTTGTTGCTAATTTCTAGAAATAAATTGGTTGTTTAAGTACTTTATTGCTTCCTGACCACTCAAATTCTCTACGTTCTTCCTATGCATTGCTGTGGATATGATGGTGAGATGAACTTTGTTAGCATTCTTCTAATGTTGGTGTTCCTGTTATGTTGTTTAACCTAACTACAAACAAATATTTATACCTTACATGTTAACAACTATCAGCTAACACACATCTATAAAATATAAAAAGTGAAACGTGAATGATAATTTATATGGAAACAATTGAAGGGTTATTATCTATTTAAATTGTCATTCAAAGTTTACTTTTCACTCTCGATAGATATGTGTAATTTTATGGTTGTTACTGGGTAATGTTTGAAGGTTAGGTGATAATTAGGTTAAAGAACATAATGAAAGATCTATATGTTCGTGTAATGATATTTTCTAATAACACGTGATAATATAACATCATGCCTAATAGCAAGTAGTCACTTATTGATTGTGTAATAATAAATATTATCAACTCTTGTATTGGTCATGCTTAGGGCTGTAAACGAACTGAACGTTCGGCGAACCGTTCGTGAACTGTTCGGCGGGAAGTTCGTTTATGTTCGTTTATTTAATAAATGAACGAACATGAACAAAAATTATCGTTCGTTTAGTTAAATGAACGAACATAAACAATGGTCTCGTTCGTTCATTTATGTTTGTGAACGTTCGTTTATGATGTTCATTTACGTTCGTTTATGTTCGTTCGTTTAAGTTTATTTATATTCATCTATATTCAATTTCTTTTTTATTATATTGTTATATTATATGTTTGTTTATGTTCATATATGTTCAATTGTATGTTTTTTTTTTTTTTAATCTTTATTCGTTTATGTTTGTTCGTTTAACATGTTCACGAACATAAACGAACGAACATGAACAAAATATTTTGTTAAACGAACGAACATGAACAAGAAAATCTCGTTCGTTTATCCGTTCGTGTTCGTTTGTTGTTCGGCTAACTTAAACGAACGAACATGAACAAGACCTTGTTCGTGTTCGTTTGGTTTGTTTACAGCCCTAGACTCATGTCTAATTGATTACTTCTCACTATGACACCCACAACGATACATAGGAAAAACATAAAAACTTTGAAGTGATCAAGAAACAATAAAGAAGTACATAGTCGACCATTCATTTGTTAATAAAAAATGTATTTTCATTGTTTATAATAAAATATTATGTTTATAAATGATTTGTTAATAATAATAATATCCATTAACTTCATAGTAATTTTTAAAAAAAATCATAATATTTTGATTATCGGATAATTTTCAGAAAAATCATAATATGTTGAAGAAACTAACGAAAAATGACAAAATACCGGTTAAATCTACGAAACCGGTCAAAAAGGTTTTTTTTGAAGTTTTAGCCGGTATTTTATGTTTTTCTGTAAACAAAAATTAATTCGAGATTTTTTCATAACTCAGACTAAATTTTAGGATTTTTTTTTTTTTTTTTTTTTTTTTTGAGATTTTGCTTATTTTAAATGCACCATATAACCTAATTTTTTTAAAAGGAAAAGGTCAAAACTGTCAAACTGTTTCATGCCTTACACGCCTTGGATCCAAAGCAACAAAATATTCTTGTTTTTATAAAATGAAAAAACTAAGTTTTCACGTCTCACCAAACGAGGTCTCAACAAACAAGAAGACATAAAGCGAACGCTTGCTGCTGCAAATCTCTTCTCGTCTCTTTCCGGGCATCAGAACGCCGTAATCCGACTGCTTTTTTTCCTCCTGAATATCGTCATCTGAATTCAATTTTTTGATCACTGATATCCACTACATGGGTGATTCTTACTGGAAATACGCTGCCGCTGAAGGTAGGCAGCAGCAGCCACCACTTCATCCACTCATCGGGAAGCGCCCTCGCTCCGATTACGGTACACTCACTTTTCCCCGTTTGTTTTTGCCTTTGTTTATCTATTTGATAAATAAAATCTAGAATAAGTTCTAATTTTAGTCTGTGTTTTAGCCGGATAAATGTTAGGGTTTTTTTTCGTAGCAGCTAACAAATCAGATGTTTCAGATCTTTAGTTAGCAGAAAAGCTTGCGATGCTATTTCTTCTTATATTTGTGCCATAATATGGTTATAGATGTACAGCTTCGTATTGATTTGTGCAGATGTCAGAAAACCCTAGTTACAACATTGTCATGCTTCTGTTATGAAATATTGAAATGTACCACCACTACCCTAGAAGCTATACATTTGGACTTGTGCAATTTATAGCCACGAGGAAATTCTATTAATAAATTCAAAATTGGACATCCATTTTGTAACATTTTTAACTCCAACACCACTCTGTGCATTGTAATAAAGCTGATGAGTTTATAGAATTTTGCTCCTGAAGTTACTTAAAGGGATAATCAACAAGACAGCGTAGGAGATAAACTACAATGGAATCTGTATGTGTCCGTTTGTTTGTTTGGTATCATAATTCGGTTCTCCTCCAAGAGTGGGAGAATACTATTGGATGTTTGTTGTTTAATATCATGATTAGGGCTGAGAGACACATGATATGGATCGTTTTCAAACTAATTAGTTAAAAGGATAAAGACTAGTAATAGTTATTGATGATCTAAGCAGAGTTCTTCAATCTTCAGCACTCCATAACTTGTGCAAAGATATGTCTGTCTTTCCCCTTTTTTTTTTTTTTTTTGCTTTTGAAGCTCATCTAGCTATCTGGGGTCTTGCTCTTTCATAATTATTGTGCCAGAAATTTTGAAAGCCAGTCGTTTTAATGAATATGAAATTGATAGAAATTTTAGGAAGCAGTTGGATTGTTCCATTATGTTTAAGTTGTAATTGGTTAATAGTATAATTACATGGTGATTTGATTGATATGATACTGATAGATGTTCCTGGTGGGCGTGAGTTGCCTAAATATTTTGATCCTGAGGGGGAGAGAGGACCCGGACCTCAACTAGTGGTTAAAGATTCTGATTCAATCGGTGCATCTTACGATCGTTATCTGCGTGGCACGGTATGTATATATGTATGTATGTATGTATGTATGTATGTATGTTTAAAGTTCTTACATGGCAATCTCTATGATATCAGCAATTACCTCCATACAGTGGCATTGAGTCTGGTAGACCCATGGGGATGGGAGTTGGTGGTGGTTTTCATGAAGATCCTCGGATGATGGGTATGGGCATGGGCATGGGTATGGGTATGGGTATGGGCATGGGTATGGGGCCTCCCGCACCAGCAAAAGGTCGGGATGCAGCAGGGCTGTTAGGAGGTGGGAGGCATGAAATTCCTTTGCCTCCTGATGCCAGCAATACGTTGTTTGTAGAGGGTTTGCCTTCAAATTGTTCACGAAGAGAAGTGGCTCGTATCCTATTATTTAAATTTTTTTTTTTTTTTTTTTTTTTTTTTTTACATATTTTATATATGTATTTGGTTGGTTCCTTGACCCGAATTTTGCAGATATATTCCGCCCTTTTGTGGGGTACAAAGAAGCCCGTCTGGTGACAAAGGAATCCAGACATGTAAGAAGATTAATGAATTGTGATGATAACATATGCTGAGATGTATATATAATAGTGTTTTGTGTTTTACAGTCGAGTGGTGATCCGTTGGTACTCTGTTTTGTTGATTTCAAAAGTCCAGCTGAGGCAGCCACTGCTAAAGATGCCTTGCAAGGTACGATTTTTGCTTTCTATCTATCTGGCATCTGCATTTATTATTTGGATAGTGCATCTACTAGTTGAAGTTGAAGGAAATACGTCAATTTTAACCTCAAATGGTGGTTGGTTGTGCTTGTAATAGAGGCACTCGCTATATTTATTGAATCCCCCCCAACGCAAATGATGCGAAAATGTTAGATAACGCCACTTTACTACTCGTCTTCACTACGAGTTACCTGCTCAGAGTTGCAGCTATGTATCGAGTTCCAGAGCATTCATTCATAGTCATTAGTCATATGAATATGAATATGATAAATCGGGAGCAGCTATTCTCAATTGCTAAAGAGCGTATGCGTATCTATTTTTTATTCCTTTTAAATAAAATACCCCTAACACTAGGAACTCCTTTTCCATCTCCAACAACCCTAAAAAAAGTTTCAGTAACGGTACCACGTCATGACCAAAACCGTCACGTGTGTGTAAGGTAGGTAAATCGCATTTGAAGAGCAGTGAATTCGAGTGTTGGATAAAACCCTTTTGGCATATAGATTGGTTATGGGTAACTCCAAACCAGCATTAGAAGTGCGGTGAGTCATGCGTGTAAAATAGTGGAAAGTGGATTTTGCAGGTTATAAGTTTGACGAACATGACCGAGAGTCGGTGAGCTTACGGCTGCAGTTTGCCCGCTACCCTGGTGTGAGGGCAGGCGGAGGTGGCGGTGGCGGAGGGAAGCCAGGTGGTGGAGCGAACCGTGGAAGACGTTGAATATGCACAGACAGACAGCTTAACGTTATGTAACAGGTGAGGTGATAATACCTCTAATATATAAACAAGCCCATGAATATCAGTCACAGTCACACGTTTGATATTTTAATAAGCAACATACATATCGGATCAAATATTAAATCCAGCTAAATTGTGGTGCGGCACGTCTATTATGTAGGATCCATCTATCTTTCCATGCGTCCATGTAGCAGTCGGTTCGGTTCGGTTCATTTACATACGTCTCTCCTTTTGAGTTTCCGGTTTCGTTTCCTTAGGGCCAAATGAAAATCGGGTTGCGACTTTCGACTTTCGACACATGTTTGTTATGTGGTATTAAATTTCGTTTCATGCCAGAGAGAAATGTTTGATCATATATTATTTATTTTATGTTGTCATTTTCATCTATAAGTTATGCGACTAATTATCCCTTGGGAACTCCTTGTCTAGAGTTTGACTTGTGTGTTTTGTTGGTTTTCTCATAATATTATCTGTATGCTTCCAAAATAAATATGTGACCATAATCCTATTTCTATCTGGATCGATCGTGCTATTCATTTTTTCTTTGGAAATAAACTGTTTTTTTAATGGACTACATGAAATCCCACTATCCAAGTACAATAAATCGATTCAAACGGGACGGTTTTTTATCATGCCGGTTCAACCTAGTTTTTGAAGAAGAAACTATCCGGTTCGATCCAGTCTAGAAATTACATAAAACCGGTCCTTTTGAACCGGTTTTTAAAACATTGGTTATAGGTAGTTGTATCCATCTCCCGACATCACACTTGCAGTCCTAAATCAGTTTAGGTTTTGGCTTGCTTCCTGTGATTAAGCTCACCTATACAAGTCAAGTGTGCTGTGGATTCAGAGGCTAATTTGTGCTTATGCAAAACTAAAATTTCCCATTCAGTCGCTGTGAAAATCTTATGAAGAAGGTAGGTAGAGGTAGAGGTGAAACCATAAATAATGAAGATGAAGTGATTACATACCTGGATTCAGGTGTGAGGGAGGAATATATAAACACAAATGCAAAGAAACATGGAAGTGTGATATTGGTTCGGCTCATGGCTCATCTCCCATTACAAAACCAGGACACAGGACAGGACAGGAGCCACACCAGTATCATGCCTCTTTGTTTCTTTGTTTTTCAATTCAAGCTTCTTTCGCGGAGGGTTTTTGTATGATTTAGAGCCCCCCCTTATATACTACTACTACTTGATATGCCCAGTTAAATTATTAAGATTATAATAATAATACCTTTGAATTAAACCTCGTGGGAAAACGTATAAGCTTCTTCCAATTGGGCATAAATATTGCATTTGGATATTGGATTTTTTTGTTTGGGAGGAGGATGAGATCCTTAACAAATAAGAAACATATGGCAAGTCGTTGAAGCATTTGTCATCTTGTGTGGAAAAAGTCTTGCTTTTCCATGTTTAAATTCCTAGTATATTTCCAGATATCCTATCAAGAGCCACTCCCAGATTCCTTCATTCATCACTTTTGTTCGTGTGTGTGTGTAATATAATATATTATGTTTTATTCTAATACTGCATGCACCACGTTATACCTAATATAGAAGAAGAAGATGCTTTTTTTTTTTTTTATCAAGACAATAGAGGATCAAAAGTCCCCATTTGTTTGTTTCTATATTTTCTCTTGATTGGATGGTGATTGATATATAAAAATAAAAAGAAATAAAATGTTTGTTTTTGTTTGCATCTCAATCAAATCAACAAAGAATCTAAATGTGAAATCATCAAATCATGCTCTTATAGTTGGGATGAAAAAAGAAGCTGCAATGCCATGGAGATATATTTTTGATGGTTGTAGCTAGAGAGAGATGAGGTCCAAGTATATCAAGTCGGTAAAAAAAGCTCTAATCTAAAATATTAAGAAACTATTTTTAACACCGGTTTTATTCATACAATCAAAAATCAGAACACACTTCATGGCCTAATCTAACCAAAAGTCAATATTACATCATCATTATCATACACAATAGTGGTAAACTTTGCAATCCTTTTCGAATCTAACGTTGTCAAGTTAAGTAAACATATCCTTCTGTCATTGGTTTGAACAGGTCTATGTAACGGCTTTAACCCTAAGTTATTATGTTGACTTCTGCCTAGACTTTAAGTACACATATCTACTATTTATCTAGGGTCCACCACAATTTTCGTTCATATGCTTAGGTCACGATTGCATATGTTGTCATTATTATTTTTCACTCTTACGTATCTTTTTTGTTTCAGCATAGGCCCCTCCCTAAAGGATACAAAATGACTATGCTGCCCTTATTTGATATTATTTTTTTATTCTAGTATACTATTATTAATTCAAGTGGGACCACATCCTTCACTCTTTTCCCTTTTTCCATTTCTCTCTCTTCCTACCTTCCTAGTTGAAATTGCTCAACTCTAGATCAACCATCTTCATTTGCAACAAAAATACAAATATGTGGGAAGAAGAAAAATAAGTTTGTTGACGAAGCTTCATGAAGATTACAAAGATGAAGGTATGCTCCAAAACCATTAACACAACGGTGCCAATGAGCAAAAGTGCGCACTTAAACTTCTAAAACAATATGCTCATGAAATAAAAAACAAATCACAAAGAAAAATGTATTCAAAATTTTAACCAACAATTACAGGATACAACAAAATGTTAAAAGGTAAATTTTAAACCAGTGTGTACAAGATTTTGCTCTCGGTTTCTCACTTTAACACATAACTTTCAAACTCTTGCAAAAATATAATCTTTTTATGGAATCACTCCGAACTTCGATATAGCATGAAGCATGCAAGTGGAGATTGATCGTTGAAATAATGATAAATAATGCTGTGAGGATTCTTAGATTATCAGTTGGAAATTTTAAAGAAATTTTGATAAGTTTTATGAGAAAATATTGGATATCCATAAATAGTTAATAAGATAAGGGCGTCGTATTTTTAATAAACGAAACAAACGAGATTGACATGAAAGGCTAACGACAGACAAAAATATATATCGTCACATGAGCCACCGACCAAGGCAACAAAAATTCGAGGGCATAAGTAGGGCCTACAATCCAGTTATACTATTCTTTGAGTTATTCGGATATTTGATGAATGGTGATGCAAAGATAAAATGGATTTAATTGTCTGCTGAATGATATGATGATGCATGAAAGAATGGATTTTCTTAATATCTCCTGATTGGCCTTCAAACTCTTAATTTGGGTTTTTGATAAGAGATACTTTCGTTTATTGTGTTGGACTTCTAATTTGAAATGTTTGACTATTTCTATTAATATATTTTTTTGTTGGATTAGAATTGATGTGAAAGCAAGCCAAATAGGATCATGTTTAATGTTTAATTCCAATTTGAATTTTCTTATAAAGCATGGCATTATGGCCAGTTGGCCACCCTTGATTGAAGATCATATGATTAGAATTTGGCACATTCCTTAGAGAGCCCCATAAAGCATGGCATTATGGCCATCAAGTGATGGTTTATAACTACAATATTGACCAACAAAAAAATTATTTAAATGACTATTTATTTTTATTTTTTTTGTCAGAAAGACATTGCATTTGTATTTATCTAATTAAAAAAATGGGTCATTGATTGTACATATCTAGGGTTTGTTTGATAGCTTCATAATGAAACCATTAAGTGGCCGCCATTGAATTGTTCAACCATTAAGAACGTTTGATTCATCAAATTTTAACCTCTTAATCGGTTAGAGATTCTGAACAATTCAACATTAGCAACTGAGAAACTAATTATCATTTTCTCTTTAAACAACTCTCTACAAATCCTAAAAACAATCATTCCACCGTTAGCAAAGAGATACAAACCCTAAAAACAATCATTCCACCATTAGCAAAGAGATGAGAAATTAACTATCGTTCTCTTTAAACAACACTCTCTACAAACCCTAATAACAATCATTCCCCCATCATCCACCACCCACACCATTATACTCGGTCACCATCAAAGTTGTTACTTTGACCGCCTCCACCATCGACATCGATGTCTATGCATTTTGTGTTAGAGATAACAAAAAACAGTGATGTTATGTGTGTGCTAGAGTCTAAACAAAAAACTCGACACCACAACATCTACAATCACTGCCTTCCTTGATGTCATACCCACCACCATACTCTCTTTCCAAAATCGTTTCTAAAGCTCCCAAAGCCCTTCTCTTTTTCTCTTTTCATATTGTTAGTTGATTACTGCAAAGTGGTGTTTTATATTATTCGTTTTATGATGTGGATGTTGATTTGTGTTGAAATGTTCATCTGAAATCTAATAAATGTGTTTGCTAAAATCTTTTGTTGAAATGTGTTTTGATAAATGTTCATCTAAAATTTGATAAATGTTATGTTTTTGTTACTTTACCAATGGTAATGAATCATTTTAATCTATTAATGGTTCAACATGAATGATTTAGTTTCTACCAAATAGTCTCCTAATTCATAAATGGCATATAGGCGAACATTTTTTTTCTTCTTAAAGGGACATTGCATTAAGTCTTCCTCCTTGCATGATTATTTTAGCTGTATGTTATCTATTATACAAATCCTCATTGGACTAATTGACTGTAAACTTGTTGCATAAGCTTGTTATGGTTTAATCTTTTGTTGATGCAACTTACTTTGGTCAGCACCTTAGTTCCTTGTGCTTGTAATGGTTTTAGCTTTTCATTTTTGTTGGAAATTTGTTTATTCATTATGAATATTTGTATTTTATAGAAATTTTTAAATGCTTTGTTCAAGTGGTTTATATTCTTATATTGTATGTGTTCATTGCAAATGTATCATATAATGTGTTTATTGCAGTTGTTCGATACATATATAGGGCATTTTTACACTTTTTGCACAACGCATAGAAAATCTCTGAACCAACCCTACTTATTATGAGGGGATTTTCGTCTGTTTTGCAACCCAAATTATTAAGTAGAATTTCATATTGATCCAATAATGGATTTGGCAAAAATTATGCATGCATTGTTTAAGTACTTAATTGAAGAATTGTGACAAATGATTTACCCAACTGAACCAAATACCTTACCATGGGGAGCTCCAATCTTATTCATGGCAAATGATAACAATTATTCACATACGAAGTTTGTTGATCTATTGATCGAGTTGCAAGGGATATGTTACTTGTCAAAGATATCACCCGTTGATGGTTATAGTGTATGATGTTTTAGTGTTTAAGCATGTCAACTTAATAAATGATTTCACACAAAGTAACAATGCAAACGAAAACAAAGCCCAATCAATTAACGTGGTTAACACAATCAAGATGATCAACTACGTCCGTAGTGAATACGAGAGAGAGAGAGAGAGAGAGAGAGAGAGAGAGAGAGAGAGAGAGAGACCAAAAATTGCCATTAAGGTAAAGCTTAGAAAACGCGGACAAAATTGGACCATATAATGACATGTGGAATTAAAGGAACTAGCCCACGGAAAATATATTCGGTTAAGGGAGAGTAGAGATATGAATGATTAGTAGAATTGATTAGTGGAATTTAAATAATTGGTTAAGGGAGAGTAGAGATATGAATGATTAGTGGAATTTAAATAATCGTAGAATCTCATATATGTGGCAAAAGTTTTGAGAAAGTGACAAATGGAAAAAAAAACTTTCAGATATTCTCCTAATTCAAATACAAGAAACTAATATCGTATTGAGTTTATAAAACGTATGAAGCACGATATTCTTCAATGTCAATAAAACATCATAAATAAACCCATATAAGGTAAGTATTACCATTCGCATTCCTGTTGACTGTTGTTGACCTTAAATCAAGCACCAATAAATAAATAAGTAAAAAAAAAAACAGGTCAGAAAATATGAGATGGGGTGGGGATCAAAAGAAGATCTTAAATTAAAGCACCACCACAAACTCGGATTGTGGGAGGAGCCCAAAATATCCCCATGACTATGTCTATACCCCACCGCCTCCTAAATTATCCCCTTCTCATTCATTATTGCCTTCAAAAACTCAACCTCCTTTATTTTCATCATATTTTATCTTAATCTGCATTCATTCCTGAAAGCCCGATTATATATACATATATATAAAAGAAAAAGAAAAAAGAAAACAAACTCCTGTTTTAATTTATCAAACCCCTCTCCCTGTACTTGTGTTTTAAGAGTTTAGATCATGGTTGCTCTCACTTCAGTCACCCCACACTCATCTAATAAGCTCTATCCTACTCCATTTATTTGTTATTCAAACTCTGTAAATGAAAACACATCTTCTTCTTCTTCTTCTTCTTCCAATTTCATTGCCATCAACCCAATCAAAAGGAGACACTCTCACTCTCTCTCCAGGTTAACAATCCGAAGCAGTGCAGCAACCAAACCACCAAAATCACCTGGTAATCCCTTTTTCTACCTCTTTATTTTTATAATTTTATATTCATTATTTTCACAAGCTTCAATACTCTTCTTTTTAGCCGAACAAGACTGGAAGACAAAGAGGGAGCTCCTCCTAGAAAAAAGGGTAGGGTATTAACGTTTCCTATAAACAAATATCAAAATCCCTCCTTGAATCTTAATTGCACATATGTAATCAAAATTAGGTTCGAAGTGTGGATGTTAAGGAAGCCCTACGCCTTCAGCAAGAAAACAGCTTTGTGATTCTTGATGTGAGACCCATAGCCGAGTTTAAAGAGGTCACACACACTTTATATTTCAATTTTGATTTGATGTAGATGTTATTGTAGGTTGAATTGAATTACTCAAGTTTGGAATTGTAATATTAATTTATTGATGGATGGATATGTAGGGTCATCCACCAGGTGCTATCAATGTGCAAATATACAGGCTTATAAAAGAGTGGACAGCATGGGACATTGCAAGACGAGCTGCATTTGCATTTTTTGGTATCTTTGCTGGAACTGAAGAAAATCCTGAGTTTTTGCAAGGTATGCCATTTCACTTTTCAACCCCATTCAGTAACTACTTAATCAGACACAATGTTTGTCTGGAACAGATGTTGCATCCAAATTAGATAAAAACTCAAAGATTATAGTAGCTTGCTCTTCTGGAGGTACAATGAAACCTACACAAAATCTTCCCGAAGGCCAACAATCAAGGTTGCTAAATAAAATTTCCTCATTTATTTATTTTTTAACATCTTTCTCATGAATCTATATTATTGTTGATTGGTGCAGGTCCCTTATAGCTGCCTACCTGCTAGTTCTGAATGGTTATAATAATGTCTTCCATTTGGAGGGAGGATTGTATCAATGGTTCAAAGAAGATCTACCTATAGAGTCAGAAGAAGAAGAATGAAGTTTTGAGCCACCAAGAATATTTTTTTTTTAACCTTAGTTCAAAACTTTTCCATTAAACAATTATTGATTTAATAGCATTACTCTTTGTTTTGGTTATATCTTTGAATTGGGTGTTTCATGTTTGTTAACAATTGTCATGTTTGGTATCCTGTTCGACAATGTTCTACCTATAACGAGGAGTTGGATTGACTATTGGAAAAGTGCATTACCTTGTGATATACTTCAAAATCCAGAAGAATAAACACCTTTTTTTTTTTTTTTGCTTAAGCCAATAAAGAAGCTCTTGCCATGGCTAGTGCACCCTCATAAGTCTTGTTTCCACCAATAAATCCACTTGAATGTACAAACACACAGCCAGATATTCCTGCCACTTGAGAAAGATGATCATCTGTTAAACCCCTCCAATGAGATGGAAGAGCCTTCCTGCTTTCAAATTTATCTGGTGACACTGCTACTGCCTGCACTCTCCACTTACTGTTCCTCTTATCCTACATAACATGAAAAAGAAGTTTTTTTTTTTTTTTAAGTCTTATAGTGTACAAGTGTTGCCATTTTGAATTTGTAAAGCACCTGATAAATAACGTATTTCAAGACAGGATCAATCTTCATTTCCACCTCAAGCTCAAATATGTGAAGCTTCCACTGTCCAATAAGTAAAGATTCTTTATGTTAACACATAAATGACAGCAAACCAATGTTGTATTGTATATCTCAAGCAACTTACAGGGCAAGACATAGTCAGTAACATGATTTCTCCACTGGAATCAATGTTCTTTCTTGTTGCAAGACATTCCATTACAACCGATCTTGCTGGCAACCATGATTTGGCATGAAAGTGGATACACTGGTGAATAAACAGGGCAAAGAGTCATTAATGAAAAGATATCATGTTAGTGAAAGAACACAAACAAACTCACATCCATAAATTCACCCCCAGCCAAATTCATTGCACGTTGAAATGCTTGGTCTTCTTTCTCAGGTGATTGATCAGCATCATACCAGTTCAAATTCAATCTGGAGATTCTGGAGGAAAGAGTTGTGTTGTTCACATATCTTGGAGGTTGATTTGTCTCATACCGATTGATTCCATTGTCAATAGCATCAACTGCCTAATGCATTGTACAGTCAAAAACTGGCGTTGGATAAAGGATAAAGAAGAAGCACTCTTTTTGAAGTACCTCCACAAAATTCCTGTAAACAGCTGAAAACAGGCTATGAACGTCGGGATGACCTTCATCCAGCTGAATTGCCTTTGCAATTATCTCAATCCCATAATGCTACACCACGAAACAAGTTGTTCATTAGAACCTCAATTCGCTGGTTAAAACAATCAATCTACACTTGAAACCTTGTTTTATGCAGAAATGGAGAAGATAAGTAATTACCTTATACACAAGGCCAGCACTACTTAGCTTGGTGGTAAATCCATTACCAAGTATTTCATCGAATCCTTTCTGATGATGATCAAACCGCTCGGTTCTCGGATCGTATACTCCCCCAACATCAAGCACCGCGTCAAGCGTATCCAAAACCTTCTCCGTCAACATTTCCCCAATGTCAATATCTAATTATCTATTCCGGAACTGAAATAATAATAAAAGTATGAACATGTATATACAATTTATATATAGTACCTGAAGGTTTCTAGTTCGAATGATTTGGGCTCCGTGGAACTTTGACGTGAGGCCAATCATAAAGCATCCTAGGGCTTCGTCGCAGTGGAAGGTGCCGTTATGAGTGCCGATTTGCTTAGGTGGCGAAGCAGAAGCAGTGGAGAAAGTTAAACGTGAAATTGTTGAGTTGAATGCTATAAAATTGGGCATCGGCGAGAAAGGAAGTATAAGGGAGATTCGGGACCGTAGAAATAGAAGGGATGCAGCCATTGTTAAGGCTGGCAAACTAGTTTGAATGTCTGCTGTTAATGTTTCTATAAACACAGATATATGTGGTGCACGCACTCAAAAACTCTACTATAAATAGGAAGGTCCGTAGACCCCATTCTACACACCATCCCAAAGCATTTACTCTCTTCCATCCCAATTCCCAAGAGGGTTGTTTGGCATTGCTTTTTCACTTTTTACTTTTACGAAAAAAAAGATCTTTTAAAAAGTAATTTTCGGTAAAAATAAAATCCTCCTCTTTCAAAAAGTTATGAAAACATTAACGACTTTTGAAATAAGTAAATTACATTAATACCCTTAACTTAACTTACCGATCATTAAACATTTTTCTCAAGAGCGGATGCAGGATTTCATAGTAGGGGTTGCACGGAAAGATTAGGGGTTGCACGATAGTAGAAAAAATAAAAATTTTAAAAAATTTCGAAATCTTTTCCACTGCGGCCGGAAAATTTAGGGGTTGCCGGTGCCACCCCGGAACCCCCCTAAATCCGCCCCTGATTTTTCTCATTCAACAATATTAAATGTTCTTTTTGCCCCTTAAAAACTAATTCAAACATAATTTAAAAAACTTCTTTTACCAAAAGTCCTTTTGCAAAAAGAAATTTAGAAGTTAAAAAGTAATCTCAAACACCTTCCAAAGCATTACTCAAAAACTCTACACAAACGAATCACGTTGGGTTGGAGTGGTATTACTGAAACCGCATTCCATTTATTGTCATATAAGCGTCACATCATGTTATACCATAAAAATGTGGTTCCTTACCGCACCCAAGGAGCGGTATCACACTTTATTTAAAAAAAAAAAATTCAAATGAAAACTTTAATTTTTTTCGAGGGACGGACGCAAGAATACATAGTAGGTGTTGCCGTGATGAATAGGTGTTGCCGATATATGAAAAATAGTGTAAAAAATTGAAAAATCAAAAATTTTACACCGCGGCAAGAAAAGTTAGGGTTTGTCGGTGCCACACCAGGAACCCCTTAAAACCGTCACTGTTTTCTTCCTACCCAATCATAAAACAATCAAATTCTCCCCACTCAATCACAAAACACAACCATTTTTCACCACATTGTTATCTAAACTGCACCCAAGGAGCGGTGTTCACTGCCTAAGTGACGAAACCGCACTCACTCTACCGCATCACTCCCCCAAGTCTTACTGAGTTCATGGTCACATTTTTATTGTTATCAAATGTTTTAGGAGAGGGAGTAAATACATTGATTTTTCAAAAATATTATTGTTTGTAATATCTCAATAGTTTTGAAAATACATGCAACGTTAGGATAATATTATGCTTAGTAGTTACCATGCCTATGCTTTAAGAATGATATTATGCCTAATATTACACTAGAGGATTATACCTAGTCGTTATGCTGACTAAATCCCTAGAATAAGCTACTATCTAGTTGTTGTGTTGGCCAATTTTAAGGATAAACATTGTATCTAGTTGTTCTGTCCTAATATACTAACAATATCAAAAACATAATAATTATTATATGTATATGGTTATATATATACATACATACATATATATATATATATATATATATATATATATATGTATGTATGTATATATATAACCATATACATATAATAATTATTATGTTTTTGATATTGTTAGTATATTAGGACAGAATAATTATGGAATATATATGTATCAGAATAAATATGGAATAAAACTATATCAAAGAAAAAACTTAAGGATAGACAATGTACTTAATTGTATTCTACAATAATATCCTATCAAAGAATATCAATACAAAAGATAATTATTATATGTATATGGTTAAGTATGTGTGTGTGTCTATAACCACCTTAGCTGCTGAGAGATGGTCATCGGAATAGAACCTGAAAGGTCACGAAGAAGAAACGTCAGCCGCTCTCCGGGAGGAGGTCCCGGAAAGACGCTCCGACGGTCAAGTTAGTGGGATGAATCTGGAGTGACAAGGTGAATAATCGGGGTCGAATAGCTTACTTCTCAAGGCAAAGTGACTGGCCTTTTATACTGAGGATCTTCCTCGATCCGTACAAGGGACAAGGACTGTCGCCACGAGAGGATCCGTCGTCCTTATTAGAGGACCATGCTCCAAGTTCGTGTCCGGTCCAACGATTGGTCTAGGCGATAATGCTTTAGCCATGCTCTTTGTCGCCTGGAGCCGTTATCTTTAGCCTGTAGCTGAGGACAACCCTTGGCGAGGGCGGACTTCCCATGCGGTCGCCTTGCGGGGGTCTTGGGTTGCTAGAGCGGCTGAGTCGCCAACCCGGGCTTCGCTGGGAACTCCTTGTCGGGGGTTCGCTTGTTCCTGGCCCGCTCTGAGAGGCGCATCATCAAGTCCCCCAGTCCGGTAGTTATAGCGTCTGCTAGCTAGCTATGATGTTCTGGACTTAACTGTTGGTGTACGTATCGTGCTTTTAGTTGGTCGTCTAACTGTTGGTGTACGTATCGTGCTTTTAGTTGGTCGTCGCTTTGTTTCCAGTGATGTGATGCTTCGACGTGTGCATGGCGGTTACGTCAGCTGTGTCAAGGATTTTCGTAAATCCCGCTTTTTCCCCTTTATTGCTCTCAGACTTTTTTTTTTTTTTTTCAGTTTCTATCTTGTTTCTTCGTCTCTTTTCCCCTTCTTCTTTTGTATTTTTGCTATGGCTTCCTCTCTGTGTTTGATCCCCACCTCCGCTGAGTTTGTCATTCTTCAAGAGGCTTACGAGCTCACTCCGGCTGACGGAGTGGAGTTTACGGTCTCCGGTTCTCTGATTACCCAGCCTCCTCCTGGGTAAGTAGGTGTTTATCTGAAAATCTTTGACACCAGCCTTCGCCTTCCACTGACTGACTTTCAGGAGGAAATACTCCAGTGTAATGGGTGTAGTTGTAACGCCCGTGTTTCTGGGCTTGTCATTAATAGCAATGTAATAGTCTAGGTTAACCTTTGTAACCCATTTTGAAATAATCAGAATGTATTATTTGATTATTATGTGTTTTATGCTTAATTGCTTAATTGTGTGGCTTAAACGAGTTAATGATAAAAGTATGACTTAAAATGAAATATTAGATAAGCCCGATATCGATACATGAAGACATAGTGGTCATAACGAGCTTTCCGAATATATAAAGAATGTCAAAATCCAAGTTATAACGAAGAAGTTATGACCTGTCGAATTTTCGCGACAGAACCGGTACGGCACAGGGCGATGTAAATAGTGAATTTATGATAGAGTGATATTTAGCCTTAGTAATGTAAACGAAAGTCGTAGAATACGTTAAACTGAGAGCGTGCATAAAAAGAACGCCCAAATCTAACTTCGTATGAGGAAGTTATGATTTTTCTAAGTTTCGACTTAGCAGTATGCACCCCGAATACTCGATTTGAGATCGAGCGGTTTTTAGCCGACGAAATCTAAACGAGAATCGAAGATCTCGTTATTAATAGTGCAACGATAAAAAGACAGACGAAAACAAACATCAGATGGAGAAGTTATGAATTTATAATGGAGTTTTCCTGTCCCGACCTACTAAAAATAAATAATAAAAATAAATTCAAAATTAGCCGACGGAGTCTAAACGAAAGTTGTAGAGCATAGTCTCACCTACGCGTGGATATAAAGAACGTCGAAAACGGAGTTCGTATGAACAACATATGAATTTATAAATTTTTTAAATAATTAATATTAATTATTTAATCTTTAATTCGGATGGATATCCGAAGGAGTCACCGATCTGATCGACACTACGCCTAGCGTAGCTGAGTATGCCCAGCGTACCCCGGTGCATGAACCGCCTCGGACTTGAGTGCTCCGATTACGTAAGCCATGACGTTTTTGCACTACGCCCCGCATAGCTAAGTAGTACGCCCAATGTAATGCGAGGCTTTAGCCTCTATAAATAGCATGCGAGGGTAGCCGGCCTTTTTGCTCATTTTCTCTTCTCTCTCTCTCTCTCTCTCTCTCTCTCTCTCCTGTTTACCTCGTTTTTCATGCAAGAAATATCCCGAAGCATCGGTATCAACCCCGAGACCCGAAACAAGTCTCGAAGCCCCGAAGATCCCGAGAAGTGCAATTCCGGAGCCGAAGCTCTGCCCGCGATAAGCTAATTTTTGTGAAGATCTTACAGATTTACCGAATAATACTACTTCTACAAGTCGTAGTGCTGTCCGATCATCTTTTGATCAAGTGAGTATGTAGTCACTTTCTTCTAACACATAATTATGAAGTATTTTATATAAAATACGTGTTATGTGTATATTTCACAGTTGTAAAATCCCGAATAGGTCCCGATTAATCTCCGATTAATCCTTAGGCGCTACTCGACCGATTAGAGGTGCCTAGCGATTAATCCCTGGATACATAATGAGTGAAACATTATAAGACAATGTAATTTTAACATTTTGAAAAAAAAAATATTTCAAAGGAAACTATCTGAGGCATGATTAGTGTTGTACTAATCATATTAACCTATATTGTTATCATATTAATGGTATTTACGAACTTTGATAAGATATTAGTCATATTTAATTTTTAAAAATTCAACAAATTAGCAATTAATGGTCCCCGATTAATCTCCGTCTAGCCGATTAATCCCTTGACCCCAGTCCACCGACTAGCTAACGTCGAGCGTTTATTACAACCTTGGTATATTTTGTTGTTTTATGTGTGAATGTATATTCACTTTCTTCTATCTCATAGATATGATTTGTTCTCTATGAAATACGTGTTATGTGTATGTGTCTCATCTGTTGTTTGGAATATGTATTGAATGAGAATGTTATACAAATTTTAAACTATGTATAAAAATATATATTTTTATCTACTAATATGTTGGGTAGAACACGGGTAAATAGTTGATATGTGATAAACATATTGTTGTTGACCTAGTCATCTAGCGGAGTATGGAGGACGACCACAAACTCTTTCTAGACAATCATGTGGAACGCTAGCAGGTTCATAACCTGTAGGTGCTGTGAACGATGTGTTCACTGGTGTACTCTATCCCCCTCATGGTTTCCTTTAGGACATCTATTGCTGAGGAAACCCCTTGCACTAATGTCCGTCCCGATGAAAATCCTAGATTAGGT